TAACCTTTAATTCACCTAATGGCAATTTCTTTACATCATTAGACTCGTTCGAATACATTGTATCACTATTGATCAATGTGCACATTACTATAGGAGCGTTAGGGTGACCATCTTCAAACTAACCGTCTCCTCAGGTTTGCTCAGTAACATGCCAATTTCTTTACACCATTAGTTTCCCCAGATTCTCTGCTTTCAGGAATGTATATATGTTATCGAGAGATTTTGCATGCTTCAGGAGATATAGCTGATTTTCCGAAGCTGTCTCAAGTAGCTCGTCGGCGCTCGTTCCAATACATTATTTCACTGTTGATCAATGTGCACATTACTATAGGAGCGTTAGGGTGACCATCTTCAAACTAACCGTCTCCTCAGGTTTCCCCAGTAACATTCCAGTTTCTTTACGTCATTAGATGTACTCTAGTTTTTTTCGTGGAAGGTCCTTTGTTCCCTTTTTTTCAATTTCACCGCCGCGTTTGTGTTCCGTCTATTCATAGTCATTCTCGAAAAGAGAATATTCCCAACAGCGAGAGTATTGCCACTTTCGTTCTCCATCTTAAATTGTTCGGGCGAAGTTGTATTGTATGGCAATATACTCTGAGGATGAATGCGAAATCGATGGACCGCAATGAATGAAAAACAAAGCATCAGTGATGAGGGAATATGAGGCAAGGGTGATGAAATTATGATATCATTGTTCATTGTTTTGTGAATATGAAAGTTAAGGTGCTGCCATTATGCAATGATTCATCGTTTCGTAAACCCTTGGGTGGTAAACGGCAAATATTACTGCATGTGAATAATCTAATTATAAGAAGGATCAGTGTGTGATTAAGATCAATATATTGTCAAAGGTATGCAAAATGGCAAACTTCTAATAAATTCCGAAATTCCTGGGTTTTTAGAACCCAAATCTCTGAATCGGAATTCTAAAGCCGGTATTCGGAGGTCCCTTGCTAATGACTAGTTTTAGGGTGCATTTTGCAACATGATAGAATCATTTGACAAAACTTTATGTAAGCGGACGAGTTATTAGTCGCAATCACCCGTACCAGATGAGAAACAATGTGTATAGATTTTTATAATGAATTGTGTTCAACAATATGGTGACTTACTTCATGGCGGGATGGAAATATCCTGGATCGTCAGTATGAAACGCAACCGAACCGAGACGGGATCGATTTGGTTAGATTAATGATAAGTTAGCGAGATGCAGAGGATAAAAAGAATGGTGCGCTTTAGAGAGAATGAATGTGATTGTGAAACTGTGCAATGTTTTTACACAGTGACAAATTTTGTGGAAGTAATTTAACGTCAAGAAATATTCTATAATAGAGCTTTGAGGTGTAATTTATCATAAACTTGAAAGATGCTTGAAATAAGCAGTTTAGTGACAATTTCTATGGAGATCGCGTGCTTTCATGCACGCTCGACTTGTTTTATGTCCGAATTTGATGGATTTTTATTCGGATTGTGATTATTACCATCAATTTTCAGTGGATATTCAGCATCAGCAGAGATGATGTATGATGATTAATCGAATTAAGGAGCTCAATTGACGATCATTACCAGTTTGTTGGCTTTATTAATTACGAAATTTTTGCACGAATATGACCTGATGGAAAGTAGTGACGATTCGTTGACCGGTTTTTGTGATGATTAAATTTTGAAATTATTAAACAATTTCTGTGATTGTTAGAGAGGAGCGAGCACGGTGTGCGTCAAATCAAAGAACAACACCTTGATTCGTTCATTATTTCGCACTTGCTTGAATGAGTGAATGTCACAAAATTTTTCCAGCTACTCTTTGCAGCCAGTCACGCGCACTTTATTGATTCCCATGCCATTGAAGTGTTAAAACTTATCAACCAAGAAAATAAAAACGCTATCGCTTAACGACGGCGTTTAAGTCTTCGGAAAAACACTTCAGAAATATAAGTTGTTGAATGCGTTTTTGAGCGAAAAAATCGTTTTAAAGCCTTCATAAACTGCTCGATGATTCATTGAGATTCTCAACATGACGATCTGTGTGCTTTCATCTTTCGATATTGACTGCTACTTGCTTGGTTCCTCTTGGTTCCTTTTCTCACAATCACGTTGATTGAACAAACTTTTCCATAACATTTTTTTCAATTTTTCCAACATTTTTCAATTTCCAACATCCAATATTTTCCAGTATTTTAACCAAGTTTTCAATATTTTGCATTGATGAAAAGTTCTCGTTATCAATTATTAATTGAAGACGCTTTCAACGTTATTGATTCAAGGTCTCTCAAATGATTACTGAAACGTCAAAAAACCCCAACCAAAAATCCTTACAAGTAGATGAATACTGCATTAAGGGAATCCAATATACTTGCAGTTAGTTGCTAATGAGTTGAGAACAAAAAAGTCTTGTTAAGTAGGGATTAAGGTATGATTTCTGCGTGATGTTTTAACGGTGTTGAAGTGATCTTGTGCAGAATAATTCAGCTCAGAGTGTTCAAATAATAAAGTCACGTTGTTAAACGTTTCTATTGTACATATCACTCAAAAACTGTAAACATTAAGCGTATTGTCTATGGCAGCAATTAATGAAAAACAACAAGTGCTTTTGATGTCTTCATCACTTTTTCGTCTCATCGCTCTTTCACACTGATAATAACTTCAATAACAATAATAATAATAATAATAATATTAATAACACGAGTGATAACCAGTTTTGTGAAATCGAATTAAATTCATTCATTTTTCATATGACCTTCATTCATTCACTGGTTACATTATGTTCCATGGGCACTATTGTGATTTTGATTTCTTCACTTGTCAACGAGCGCCTCTCTATTCTCAGTTGAGAATTTTCACTTCTGAATTGGCTGTTTTTATTTTCTCAGCTTCTGAAAAAAAGTTTCTAGGGTTTTCCAGATAGAAATTTAAAAATTCCGTTCTCTCGACTGTGCAAATCGTTCATTATGTGTTATAGTTGAATGCATTCTTACTCATTGTATTGAATGAAAATTGTATTTTTATTGTCCAACCCAGAAAGTCTTTCCAGTGAAATCGCTATGAAAATATGGCGATTCATAATTTGTGAGAGATATCGACACATTAAAAAAAATAAGGAAGAAGAAACCCTCAGATTTGCTGAACTAGCAATGTAGAGTTATATGAGTGATTTCAATCACTTACATTTAGCGAGCGAGCGATTCATTTAGATTTATATCTTCGTTTGGATTTTAATAGCTGAGTCAGGTGATTCATCCCTGTAGTTTATAGTGTGATGATACATTCCTATGTATTTTCCCTTTGATTTCCCTCCGCTTTTTGTCCGTTAGCACACGCGTCTTCGCATTCGAGGTGATTAGCTTTCTGTGTATTATTATTTTTTCGGAGATGTCAGATGTATTTATATAAATTCAGACCGGCAACGTTCGGAAAATAGCACTTCGAGTGCAAAGATTCTCAAGATTGCAATTCTGTTTCGAAGTAACTTGTTGACAGATCGAAATATGCTCGATAAAATAAGAAAGGGGCGAGGTCATCGGTATTGTTATCAGTACAATTATCTAAGTTTAGTAGTTGAACGTTTATCAGTTTTACATGCTCATGCTTGATGTATCCTTGATAACATTTGCGGCCATCATTGTGTTATCAATACGATAAAAGACTGAATTCATCAGGTGTTTAATTGTTGACGAATAACAACTTTACGTTATCTGTATTTTTATTACTGTTCACAACTGCTTGGTTGTCTGCGATTGTTACTGATAATTTGAGGCGATATGATTGATTGACGTTACAAAAATGGAATCGTTATCAGGGCAGAGTTATTATCGTTAATGATAGAGGCTAATTTAGAGTGTTTGTAATATCGAAAATTTCAGAATTTCTTTGTAAATTGGTGGAAATCGCGTGATTATTAGTAAAACGATACAAGTAAGGAGTTTGAGCGTTTGATGACTGGAGACAATTAGTGATAACGATGAGTAATCCGTGCACATCCGAGTTGAGTGCATCCAGAGCACTCTTCGCACAACGACAAATGCAATGGCGAAGTCAAAATTTATTCATCGACCGCATCTACCAGGTCAGTTTTTTTATCGACTGGAAATGTTTATGCCATATTCTCATTATATCTGGTCGTATGACTGTTATTCCATTTTTGTTTTCATTATCATTTAGCATAGTGATGTTATTTTTACTGTCTAATTATTAATAGATCACCACTGTGTTGTTATCGTTATTGTGTTGGTAATTATTTAGTGTAAGCTGCTATAGCATCTTAAGTTTAGTCGCATAATTAGCTGAGTGTCGTATGACGGTAGTTATCCATCTAAATTGAGTTGCTAGATGCTATATGTTGAATTTCGTGCATAAAGTTTTGATCTACAGTTCGATGAAATCGATTTTATCATGAATTCGTGGAATAAATCCGGATTTATCATCGTTTTTATCTTACAAGTAATTATCAGTCTTTTGAGTAATAAAGTATTACGCAGAATCAGGTTCACTCAGTGTGATTAGTAAATTCAGACTCAAAACGGCATGATTATCGTTTTTTTGGCCAAATGTTTTGATCTTTTTGCCACAAGTCAGCTTTATTGCCATTGTGATACTGATTCTTTGAATTGTGAGTTTTTGCTGTATTATCCAGAGCAAAGCACCAGAAAGTTACTTGATAAGCATGCCTAACAAAGGTGCGGACTAATCGGTCTCATCGTATCGTCGTATCTGTGTGGTCGTTCCATAATGATATTTGCAATAATGATGATGGTATTTATGGTCTAAGAAGCATAAATAAAAACTTCATTCAGGTATGCAACAACGTACATCCAGGAATCGGTTTGGAGCGAGCAGCTGTAGACCACATTCAAGAGTTACTGATGCGAATACTCTTCGAAATACTCGAATCGAAACCGCAGAAAATCGAAGATATGGAACGTTGTATGCGTGCTTCATTACCAGCCAGTATGTGCCATTGGGTTATGCAGGTGACCGATTCATCTCGTCATTTATTCACTTCTGTTTATCAGTTGATTTTATCATGACGCCAATTCTTTTGTTTTTATTTGATTTCATTCATTTTTATTCACTAGCACGTCAGTTGTGACATTTGTTTTTGGATATTTGCATTTACAATTAGTATAATTTATAGTTTCATTCATTGTCAGTTTTTGACTTCGAACAGATCGAATTTGCATTTTTTAATGAGAGTAGTTGATGTAGTGTCGATGAGGAATGAAATATAATTTTTGAAGATATAAATATTTTATTATTTCAGTATCAAGAAACGAACGAAGCGTTGCATAATTTAAGCTCAAAGAAGCTGTTCGATAAGCGAAACGCAAATGCCCGAAGTCTCACTTCGCTGCTTCATGCTCTTCAACCGAAAATTAAGGTCATTTTTATTTCGCTTTCTTTCAGTCAGTCCGATTCGGTGTTATTATTGATTTAGATAGTCCCAATTTACGAAGGGAATGTCTTATGACAGAAACTGAATTAGTCTATTTTGTTGACCCATAAAAATTGACGTCTCATAATTTACTGTTACGATTACTCGTAAGATTCATTTAACTTGAACGTATTTTTAGGAGCATCTTGGGTATAAAGTGGATGATAAAGTAATGTTGTATATATTATCTGTTATTGAATACGTTGCGGCCGATATACTCAAGGTATTGAAATTGATTTTAGTTTTCTTTGTGAACGTTAAAAAAGAGTCAGATTTCCATATGTTTCGATGAATTCAATTATTCGAAACTCGGGATCGGAATTGATTGATTGAAGATTGAAGAAGTGTTGTTTGCAGCCTTTTGAAGTTAGAAAATTTCCACGAAACTTCATCAGTTGAGCTTCAGTTGAATGTGGTTGTTATTCAGTGATGATTATAGTTTAGTGATGGTTTATGAGATAGTTTCATTTGTGAGAAATGCTTTTTCGAACGATTTTGCGTTATTTATGTATTCTCAAGTTTTGATTACAGTGGACTGGTAACTATGTGAAGAATATTCGTAAAGGCAATCATACAATCGGATTGCAGAATCTGAAAATTGCCCTCAGCGCTGACAAAGTAAGTGTTTATTTCGATTGAACATTTAAGATTTTGTGTTTTAAAAGTATTGAATTGACAGCATTGAGTCAGTTGAACGGATGACTGTGAAATACGTGAATAATGCAGAGGTTGAATTTCATCTTCAGAGTCTAATGGAGTTGACCGAGATGCTTTATAATGAAGAGGAGGCATCAACGGCAGGCATTCTGAATGATTTAGCAGAAGAGAATTGGAAGATTACACAAGAACTTACATATGAAAAGGTATGCGCTTGTTTATTGTGGAGTGAGTATTTCACTATAATAATGGAACAGGAATATTGAGTAATGGTGAAGGGTACAGTTTGGTGAGAGATTTTCTAGAGTCTGATAAAGAAGATGATCAAAATTGTTGTGAAGGCTTATCACTGATTAGTCCCACGAGTTTGATTGTGTTATTTAAAATAGGTTGTTGGTAAGCGAACCGCTCCAATACTTGAATTACTCTGTATTGATGTGATGGTCTTGTATTTGTGAGAGTATCATTTTGGAGCCTTGAATCTGTTTTGTAATAGCAGTTTATCCGTATGAAAGAAACGATGTATACGGAATGTACGAAATGTCAAAATGCAGCTGTGGGATCGGAATATTGAGTAATGATGAATATATCTTTTTTTTGCAGTATTTGAAGGATGTGCTTCTAGGTATGTTTTATGTTTTAGGTATCACGCGATTTGAACCATGAAGAGGAGCAGTATTTGCGTGATTTGAATTTGATTTTGCACGTGTTCCGACGGCGTTTCGAAGCTGCATTCGGTGAGAACGATAAGGTGAGATGGCGAATCTTTCGATTAATGTGGTCATTTGAGTAGATATAGGCGATGAGTATCGTTTTGATTTCATTTAGTGATGAATTCAGTATTTGTTTACATCTAACATAATGAACGATGCTATGTGCGTTTTGAGTTATTACTTTGCTTTCATTGTTTGACACATTTTCAGCGTTGTGAAAGAATTGTTTATTTATTAGTAAATGCATTGTGAACGCATAGGGAAGGGAAGGTTTGAACGGTGTATATTCTTCTTGAGTATCGTGCTTTGTTCAGTGTATTTGTTGTCTGTTTGTGCGGTGAGGTGATCTCGTTGGATATGGCATCTGCTATCTGTACTGTACAATTGTTTATTCATTGTGTTTTAATTCTACTCTTGGTGATTACGAATGATATTTTGCAGCATTATTTGGAGGATATATTCGGCGATATTTGTGAGCTGCATGAATTAACAGTGAAAGTTCAACGCATTGTCGAGGATGCAATTGAGATGTCGGATACGCCGTGTATCGGAGCTGGACTCTGGGAGTTGGCCGAGGCGCATGAATTTGATGTGTACATTACTTATATGGTGGGTTGATTGTTGGATTAGTTAATTTGATTGCGATTGAAATATTCAGCAAGAGTCCTTTATTTGGAATGTTTATGATTTGATCGAAACTGCATTTAATTGATTGTATTTATTCAAATGCTGAGTTTAGGATCTCTTCAAATCGTCCGTGTCAACAACATTGGCTGAGCTACTGAGTGATCCGAAATACGACAACTTTTTTGAGGTCATCTTTTTGCTCGTATTCGAATTGTTCTGTGTTCGTATTCTTCGTAAACTAGATTGTGTTGTTCAGTAGAATGAAGTTTTCATTGAGTACTGAGACACTTAACGGTGTGTAGTGAATATTACTCGAAATCGAGTGTTCGAAAAGGGATAAATAGGAAATTGTCTGTGTGGAATGGCTGTGAGAGCATTAAAACTGCGGTGTTTTGAACGCATTCGAGTAGTTTGTGGATAGATTGGTAAATTTCTCTGAAAATAGATTGAAAATTAGTAGATTTATTAGAATCAGATTAGTGAATAGATCCGAATTTGAGTATTACAGATGGAGGATCGTACCTATAGTGCAACGCCTGGTGGAGAAACGTTTCGGCTAGCCGTTAAATACGTTTTACCAACGATGCTGCAAACACCAGTGGTACATTTCTTCAGATATGTGGAATATATTAATGTGAGTCGAATGTTGATTAGTTTATTGCCGCTCTTGTTATGTCGTTCATTAGTTATAAAAATGCTTTTTTAAAGTTCTCGTAAATCAATTTTTATTGTTTATTTTTTAATGGTTTCTTTTGTATTTAGATGTTAATTCATCTATCAAAACCTGGTGGAGATTTGGAGGATTTGAAGAGTGCGAAAAGTTATTTCAGTGGTTTAGCGGTGAAAATCGAAGCGCTGTGCCCGGCTGCATTGAAATCACATTTGAAAAAGTAGGTTTTGTTAGGAGGATCTAAATTTGTAATGTGTTCTTAAAGTTGTGATTTGCTAATGAAGATACTCTGAGATTTTTATGAAAAATGGTTCAGTGAACAAACTCAACGACTGATTATTGAGTCGAGTCGGTCGAAACAATTGAGGCGAATTCAAGAAATACAACGCAGTATCGAGTTGTGGGAAGGCAAAGAAATCGGCTATACTTGTGGAGAGGTCATCAGAGGCGAGTTGCACATGAATTGTTGCATTTTCTGCTGATTTGTTGATTCAGTTTTGATTCGCTGATTGTAGTAATTGAGCGTGATGGTAATAAGTTGTAGATTTCATTAACTGAAGACGATGATAATAGGTTTCATTGAGTAAGTGTTTGTGTATCAGTCATTTTTGGTTTATGGATGTAGTTTGATTAATTGAGAAGTTGTCGGATGATTCAGTGATTTGGATGAATGAAACGTTCGGAAATATTGTTGATTGTGTAATGCGTATGAATATCATTTAGTTTGTTGGAAATTGCAATTTTTCACATCGTTTCCAACGAATGCATTTCGAATATTTTATGATATTATTCATTTTGTTTTCAGAAGGTGATTTGTTAATGGTTCGACCCGGAGTATTGCCAACTTCTGGTAAGTTCTTGATGTTCCTTGAATATTTGATTATTTAATATCAAGTGATCTTCGACTGCTACAATGAATGGCGATGTGAAAATCAGAAATATTATCTCGAATTGATTTGACTTTTTAGTTTTCGTGGTGTTGTTTGTTGTGATCTGTATTTTTATTCGTTTTTTTCTCATTATTCTTTTCCCTGTTCACATGGGTCAAATTTTGCTCTCACTGAGGCAGTATTGTTCGTCATGGGGAAAATACTCGAAAAAGTTGAGTGTTATTGATGAAATTGAAAATCTTACAGAAGTGATCAAGAAGGGTCGTGGAGCAACCGATCGTCATGTCTTCTTATTTGACCATCTTCTTGTGCTAACAAAAATTCATCGATCTTCGAAACCCGAGAAGCCCCTGTACAAATTTAAAGGCAAAGTGCTCATTCGAAAGACAGACATATTCGATCTGAACGATACCGAAGGTGAGTTGTGTGAATCAGTCTTATTTTATGTTTATTCTCAGTTTTTATCCTCATCATTCATTTTATTCATCGAGCAATAATGAATATTCTCAATTATTTAAGAAATCGTCATTGCTCCTAATGAAATGTATTCGTAAAAAGTTCGGTTTCAGAACTGCAAAATGCGTTCCGAATAGAATCGCGATCGGCAGGTCGTGAAGGTAGTGTGACAACAAGTTGGGTTTTGTACTGCAAATCGGCTGATGAGAAAACCAGCTGGATGTCTGATCTGGTGATGATTCAAACGAAAAGGTTCATCATTTTGTTCAGTTTTAACGAAATTGTCTGAAAATTTTTTGGAAACGTATTCGGATCATATGATATTTTTGTGAAGTATATCGGTAAAGTATTGCGAATTTCTGATGTTGTTCTTGTTTTCAGTTTATTAGATCGTATGTTGGATAGCTCGTTGAAGGAGGAAGAGAAACGGATTCCGCTGATAGTTCCTGGACCAGATCAGTACAGGTATCACTCATTGTTCTTATATGTTTTGTCAGCGAAATTCTATCAATTAATTCATTTTTGTATACGTTTTGAATCGGTCATTGTTCACGTAAATATAGTTTGGATATCAGTGTGATTTTCGTGTAGGTTTTCGGATGTCGATTGCGATGAGAATATCGTATTCGAAGACTACACATCGAGTAGTGGAATACCGGTTGTGAAGCACGGCACTGTGCTGAAGCTTATCGAACGACTCACCTATCATCTGTTAGTGCCATTGCTATTGTTAATATTATCATTCCAACCTGTATTATTACCATCGTTATTGTAATGAAAGCGTTGATGTGCGGTAAGGACGGAACGATGATAGCGGGCGTATGTCTTTATCGACACGAATCAGCAACAATAATAGTAATACTCATAATCATGACTATAAACAGTGTTTCGCAAGAATGTACTTGAAACTCGGAATATTCAAAGGCTTAATATGACGCAGATGTCACAATGAAGAAGGGACACATACACAATAGAGAAGATAAGATAAAACAAAAAAGANAGCCTATTCACGACAATTGTGTTAAATATGCATCGGTCATTTCTGATATCTTTATTCTGGTAGTCTTTCCCATACGAAATGCAAAGGCACAACGCCATCGCGACCAAAGTTACTTTGTTTTCGGAATGTTCACTTAAATTTTGTGTTTACGGATTGTGGTATTGTTAAGGAAGATGATTGACCTGCTATCATGATGTGTAATAATTTCAGATATACAGACAACAATTACGTACGTACCTTCCTCACCACATACAGATCGTTTTGCACTCCACAAGAGTTACTGCAGTTGCTAATCGAACGTTTCAATGTGCCAACCCCGCATCAGCTGAAAGCTGTGGAACAGAGCCTTTCACCGCATCAATCAAGGTTTTACATTTGGAATGACTGGTTTAAGTTCTATTTTTTAGCATCGCAAAGATATTTACCATAACTTTATTACTTTATTTTAGCAAGTTTTTTGTCTTTACAAGCAAGCATGGATGGTTTAGGCCTGATATTTAGGTTGCATGAGGAAATCGTTTCTGGAGGAAATCGGATTTCTTTCAGAAGTTATTTCGTTCACCCCTGAGGTTTAATCGGAGCATGCCAGAATTTCGAATGTTATTAGGTGAGTATTTGATCATTTCAGGAGTTTATTGAACGGACCGTATGCAACAGTGCACTCACAAGGCCTGCAAATGCCCACGATGGCTGCTGCATATGGTCGCATTGAGCAGAGTTATCAGCGTTTCCGTAAGGAGTATCAACGACCGGTTCAGTGCAGGTTTGCTTAGTGCATCTCGATTTCGTCATTCACGATATTTGCGTTGTGAAAGTTTTGATGTGCCGTGAACAGGGAACAATCATAGGGAGCGTATATGATTTTGACTGTTAAGTACATTGTTGTCAAACATTACACGGTTCTACAATAATATTCATAATCCTAACTGTAAACAATGTATTTAAACGTATAAAAAATAAACTATAAATAATCATTCATAACTATAAACTATTAATAAACTAAATCATAACTATAAACTAAATCGCAACTATAAATAATCTATTTAAACGTATTAAAAATAAACTATAAACAACTATATATAAACGTAAAAGTATTTCGCAACAATGTACTCAACATTCACAATCATCGAAGGCTTAATAAAATGCAATAAACAAGAGACACATACAAAACACAGAAGATAAGACACGACAAAGAAGACATTCGTCGTTAATAAGCCTGTTCACGTCAATTTGATTCAAATGAATTTTCTGATATTTAGGAAATAATAGGGAGTGATTATGAGTTCAGCGTGTGAATTCGGCGAATAATTATGGGTAGTTATGAGTTCAGTTTGTAAGTATTTTGAGGATGGTGTGATGAGCGATAGTTCAAGTGCCATCGATTGCTATCGCTTGTTTTAGAGAATGGATCAGTACCGCAAGAATTTTGTGATGGGTTAAATTGTGCCCAGTGTTGAGTCATCCTAGACCTTATCGTTAGTAAGAAGATTATATGAAATTTTTTGCAGAGTTCTTAGCGTAATACGGCAATGGATAAATGGTCATTGGTATGATTTTGAATGTGATGAGGTATTACTGGAGAATTTGTGTTCATTTTTGGAGGAAACCGATCGACAATCGAATGTAACGAATCAGCACAAAAAGTGGTGTAAAAGTATTCAGGTGAATCGATTTCTTGTGAGCATTCAATGCTGAAACGAGCTTCAACACAGCTCGATTCAGTGTGATAATTTTGTGAGATGCAAGGAATCGCCAAACTTTTCCAGATAGCGATTCTAACCGCATTGCAAACCATTATTAAGCGATTATGGCAATTGTTCGAAACGAATGAGTTGCAGTTTTTTGTTTCAATGTGATGTTTGTGCTTAGTGGCGAGGGAAATTCAACATTGATTCTGAAGTTCTGAAGTAATGAACGAGTTTTGAAACGTTGCATTTTCATTTTCAGACTTGTATTGATCGAAAGCGACGCTTAGATTCAGTACAAACACCGGCAGTAGTGGATTCGGTCGATGAGGGTATTCCGCCGCCTCTGAACTCACCGAATTCTTTTGCACCCGCCAAACCACCGGTACGGCTTAATGTGATAGTTTTTGGTTTAGTTTTGCACTTTTTGAAGAGGGTACTTGATATCGATATGAACACTGAGATATGCGATGACGTTTGTGAGGTGGCGTTGTTTCAGATTGTATGGCATACGGCAAAAAAGGGTGAAATCAACACGTATGATTTGCTGACTTTGCATCCACTGGAAATAGGCAGGCAGATAACGTTGCTGCAGTTCGATCTGTATCGCGCGATAAAGCCAATTGAATTGGTTGGTTCAGCTTGGACCAAACATGACAAGGATCGACGAAGTCCACAGTTGCTGAAACTTATCGATCATAGCACTATGGTAACATAGTTCATTGAAGATTCCCGAAAGTTTTCGTTTTCATAAACTGCAAAAGTTTAGGATTGTTTTGAGAAGATATATGTATGATAGTTTATATATTTTTTGTTGTAGTTTGGGCACAGATGAGTTGATTTTTTGCGATTTCTTGAATGGGTGATGTTTGGCTCAATTCATTTTTCATTATAAGTTGGCAATTTGATCGTGATCAATGTTCATTTGGTAAATGAGTTGATGGGTTGATGGGCGAGAAATCATCTGCTGATTTTATTTCTAGTTAACCTATTGGGTGGCAAAAACAATTGTCGAAACGCCGTCGCTGGAGGAACGAGTGGGAATGTTTAGCCGGGTATTGGAAGTGATGTCGGTGTTCGAGGAATTGAACAATTTCACGGGATTGGTAGCGCTTTATTCGGCACTGAACAGTAGTTCGGTATATCGACTGAAAGCGTGTTGGGAGGTTGGCATTTGTTTTGATGTTTTGAATTAGTATACTGATGTTTATTGATAATACAAAGTGGTTTTGAATGGTGATGATAGGGAGTTGTTGAATTTTGGTTCTTTCGGTTCATTCGATCGTCTGAAGTGTAAATGCGGCGAAAGTTCCCAGAAGATTTTGTTTTTTTCTGTGTTTGAAATGTTTTTTTGTGATATATTCGTTTCCTCCGGAAATGTGTTTTTGATAAGAGTATTGTTCACTTGATGAGTGTATGTATTTGATTTGTAGCGAATCGATCGTGAGAAGCAAGTTTGTTATGAGAAGTTCAAAAAATTGTGCAATCCGCATTGGAAGGAGATGATCACCCGGCTGCAAACCATTAACCCACCATGCGTTCCCTTCTTCGGTAAGAAATTAAATTCTTTTTTTTNTTTTTTTTGGAAATTCGATTGGAAAATTTTATGTTTATAATTTGTATTATGTGAAAGTTGTAAACCTATAAGAATTATTTCATTCGTCAGTCTTTAATCCAGTATCAGTATCATCCATTGATTTTTAACGAATTCGTGAAAGTATCTGCGGAAAACCCGATCAGTTCATTTGGATTCGTTTGGATGAATAGTTATGAAATGATGCCATATTTCAGGTCACTATCTGTCGAAGATATTTTTCTACGAAGAGGGCAATAGCACATTCGTGCAGAACACGGATGAGGATCTAACGCATGAACAGGTATGCATTCACTTCAGTCATTACGAGTTCATTTTGGCAGTGATACTGACAAATAAACGAACAAATGAATGAAAGAATACCAGTTAAAATGGTTGGCAAAAAAATTGAACCGATAAATTTTAAAAAATTGAACCAATAAATTTCCAGGTTAACAATGAGGGTGCCGTAACGAGCAGTAATACGAACAGTAACAGTAATGCCACAAACAGTTGCTCATCAAATCCAACGACAACGAATGTGAACGTGAATGTGAACCTGAATGCAGTACCACCAACCCGTAAGGCGTTGGTATCGTTCGTGAAATGTCGACGTATCGCAGCGATAATCAGCGATATTCAAATGTATCAAAATCAGCCGTACGCCCTTCAAGTGGAACCGTCGATTAGGGTTAGGATTAGGCACTTTTGCATGCCCACTTTTGCAGGCCTGTTTGCCATCTTACAGCTAGCTGCTTTCAAGTGCTATTCCTCGTGAAGAAGTGTCGCAGACCAAGGGTCTGCATCTCGAAATGAACCGCGTGGTTTAACAGGAATTATCGAGACTGGACAACGAGTATCGAGGCAAAACGAGAGTAATTGTTAGGACTTTTGTGCTATCGTATTGGTCAAGTTCGTAATCCTTCGGTCGCCTATGAAAAGCGATCACATATGGAGAGAGACTTGTCAGGAGTGCGATACACGGGATAAGTTGGGGCTCTCGGTGAGGTGAGGAGCTGACCTGGGGTCATATATGGATTTGCCACTGGCCTGGAAGTGCCGACAGCGGCATGCAAGTGACGCACGCAACCGTTACGGTCATTATACTCGCACTTCAGTAGTTTCCAATAGCACAGTCAGAAGACTTGTTCCGGAAGCCAAGCTTTTCAGTAGTATATCTTTATCTTCAACGATCAATAAATGAAAGAGACTAGTTGAAGCGTCCAGATTCATAATCTAATCCGTGCATCCGTATATTCATCTAACAATATCTCCGTGTTACTGCTGCTGTGACCTATTTTTCATAGTCTTCTTTTCTCAGAATCAATATTTTCCATAATCATTCTCGCACATTGCAAATTGCTAATTCAATACTTGTGCAGTGATCCAGCGTATTGCTTATGGATCCCATAGCTACATGACAGGCGTTTCTTGCTTTCCGCATTCCTTTTTGATGATGGTTTAAAATGTCGAAACGTTGAACTTGTGACGGCTAGGGGTTGATTTTGGGTATATGTGGGTACCTTGTCTTGACTTGTAGCCGTCAGATAACAATTTATAAAGATAAATTGATAATAAAGTAATGATTAACAAAACAGTTCAACAATAGACGAATTACGGAGATAATATAATATTACTTCAATAAAAAAGAGAAATTGGAAGATTATCAAGTGATTACAGTAAAACGAAATATTATTCTTAACGAAACGATATCCTCAATGTGGTCTCAACTAGCTTAAATAGCTCAATGATGAATGAATCACTTAACAGAACCAACAGATCGCCGACGTTGATGGTTGAGTTGAATTGTCCAACGAAGTCGATTGTAATTTATTGATGAAGATAATTTGCTTACTTGATTTGGGAAATTATTTAATTAGGCCGGCCTGTGCGTTCAATTGTTTGCTTTGTTGATTCGTTATGGGTTGGAGTGCGATTGATTTGGGAGGGATGTTTGGGAAAGGAACTTGGGTTTTGACCTTATTTATATATTTGGGACAGGATGTGGAAATTTGGAGGTGCACTCTTTAATTACGACCTTAACTCCTTTGAGATTGGATGAGGGTAATTAGGTGGTTGTGGGGTTTGAGAAATTCACGGAGCTTGATCCGAACGACGACCACGAGTTGATTTGAACTGTTCGCGCTTATTCACAAAGAAATGACACAATTACGACACACTACAGTTTGAGATCTGGTGATTGGGA